TTATTTTTCCAAATGAATTTCATGAATGCCTTTTCTATTTCTATGGAGAATGTTATTGGAATTTTCATAGAACTTACATTGAATATGTATAGAACTTTTGGTAGCCATTTTGATAATATTAATTCTGCCTATTCAAGAACATGGGAGATCTTTCTACCTTCTAAGGACTCAATAGATGCAGAAAAAGCATTTGACAAACACAGCATCCATTCATGTTCAAAACACTATAAAAACTAGGGATATTAGGAACATATCTCAACATTATAACAGCTATATATGTTAATCCCAAGGCCAACATCATTCTAAATGAAGAAAAATTGAAAGTATTCCCTCTAAAAACTGGAACAAGATGAGGATGCCCTCTTTCACTACTTCTATTCAACATAGTTCTTTATACTCTAGCAAGAGCATTTATACAGAAGAAATTAAAGGGATGCAAATAGGAAAACAGGAACTCAAACTATCCTTATTTGCCAATGACATGAATCTGTATTTAGGAAACCAAAAGAACTCCAATAGAAGACTTCTAGAACTCAGATGAATTCAGCAAAGTAGCTGGATATAAAATTAACATCCATAAATCAATTGTGTTCCTGTACATCAGTGATGAATCAACTGAAAGAGAAGTTAGGAAAACTGTCTCATTCACAATAGTCTTGGAAAAAAATATTTAGAAGTCAATATGATAAAAGAGGTGAAAAGGCCTCTACAATGAAAACTACAGACATTGAAGAAGACCTTAGAAGATGGAGAGATCTCCCATGTTCTTAGATTACTCTTCTGTTCTCTAGTTGTTTCTTCTTAGTCTTATTCTTCTGAATCTCAAGACCTAGTGAGTCATGGGGTTGGTCTTTGTAACAAGATATATACACTTACTGGCTAAGTATTGTCATCTCTCCAAAGAGCTTTAGATGCCATCATTATGTAAACTTGAATTTCTAACCCAGAGGTCTAGGCTCATGTATGACATGACTGCTATATTGATATATCTACTTATATGTATAATATACTTCTTAAAATTTAATATATCTAAATTTATTATTATTATTATTATTATTATTATTATTATTGGTACTGGGGATTGAACTCAGAGGTACTTTACCACTGAGCTACGTCCCCAACCCTTTTTATTTTTTTTATTTTGAGACAGGGTCTTATTAAGCTGCTGAGAGCCTTGTTAAATTGCTCAGGCTGGCCTCAAATTTGTAATCTTTCTACTTTAGCCTCCCTAGTTTGGGATTACAGGCGTGTACCACCATGTCTGGCTATTTTTCTTTTTCTTTTTTCATACCCAGTGAACAGAGTGTTCCAAGTAGAATGAAGAAAAATAGAATGAAATTCCAACCCTGTGAGGGAAATTTTTAATGTATGTATTTTTTACGTTGAACAGCATAATTTTTTCTAGTGTATTTCTTCCTTTATAATAGCATCTATTTAAAAAGGATCTGGAAGACATCTTCCAGATGTTAGAGAAGGTCTATTTAGTTCTGTTTTAGTCAGAGTCCTGCACAGAAACAGAAGGCTCTGTTTATAGTCTTCATTTCTTGAGTGGCATTACTATTAGCCCAAATGACAAAATTCAGAACCTGGAAAAAATTATGGCTTTATTGATCTCTTACTCTCAATATAGGTGTTTTAAGCCTATCTATTTTACTGTAATTTTTTCTTGGTCAATCCCACTATCTCTGTTTTATCAGGCCCCCATCATTTCTCTTGTAGACAACAGTAATACTTTTTTTCCGGTTTCTGTACTTCTAATTCAGTGTCTGCAGCCTTTGCCACATTACTATTAGAGTTATCTTTCTAAACACAAATCTGATCATGTAAATTTGGTACTTACAACTTACTATTTTCTTTACTCACACTGAAAGTTAAACTACTGTGATTTTGTGGATTTTCTGAGTCTTACCACTTAACATCTCTTCTGAACATCCATGCTCCTACAGTATTAGATTATTTGTAGTTCTTTGATCTCAGCTGCTTTATGCCTCTTTACCTAGATACATGGCCCTTTTCTGCAATAGATTCAAATCTACCCCAACCCATTTATTTGTAGTACTGTGTTTGAGTCTTCTAAAACAAAAATGCCTTAGACTAAGTATTTTACAAGCAACAAAACGTTATTTTTTTATAGTTCTGGAGACTGGGAAGTCCCAGTTCAAGACACCAGCAGATGAAGGATCTGATGAGAACTGGTTCCACAGAGATGGTGCCTTTTGGGTGTCCTCACACCATAAAAGGGAAGCTCAAATAAGGCCCTTTAGGTGTCTCACATAAAAGCATTCATCTTATTCATGAAGATAGAGCCCTCTTGACTTAATTTCAAAAAAGTTTCGCCTCTTAATACGAGCACATTGGGAATTAGGTTTCTGCATTTGACTTTTGGGGGGAACATAAACACTCAGATTATGGCATGAAAATTCAGCTTAAATTTCACATCTTTTATAAAGGATTTTTTGATTAGCTCCAAATCTGACACCTAGTTGCTTTTCACTCATTTATGGCTTCAATCACCTAACTTCTATATTCAAACTCAACATGTATAATTCCTACAACCATTCTCTGTATAACATGTTTTTCCAACCTCTTATTTTATACTGTCATACATACTATGCCTGAAACTGTTCATCTCCACTCCAATCTATTCAATTAACCTTACATGTTGTCAATTCCTTAGACTTCAGCTCTATGGTAGAGATGTTTTTTATTTTTTTATTCTAATTTGTTATGTATGACAGCAGAATGCATTACAATTCATATTACACTTATAGAGCACAATTTTTTCACATCTCTGGTTGTATACAAAGTATATTCACACCATTTATGTGTTCATACATGCATTTGGGGTAATGATGTCCATCTCATTCCACCGTCTTTTCTACCCCCGTGCCCACTCCCTTCCCCTCCCACCACTTTGCCCTATCTAATCTTCCCATGCTCCCCCTCCTAACCCCACTATGAATCAGCCTCCTTATATCAGAGAAAACGTTCGGCATTTGGTTTTTTGGGATTGACTAACTTCACTTAGCATTATTTTCTCAAACTCAATCCATTTAAATGGTGGAGGTCTTTTTAAGACAGAGAGATCAAGTTGGTCTAGTATGTGAGCTTCCCAGAATGAGATTCTTGCAAAAGGCATGAAGGGATACACAAATATAAAGATGGAAAGGGAATACACTAGGTTTATTGAAGAAATAATGTTCCAGAAATCCACGAGAAGACTGTACTAACACTGCCAACACATCAGCAAATAACTCTGGGAACACAGAATAATTACTCTGCATCTCAATTCTCCATCTGGCAAAATACAGAGTAGTGGATTAATAATATCTCTGTAAAGCCTGGCATGGTGGTGCATGCTTATAATACCAGCTACTTGGGAGCCTGATGAGGGGGGATAGAGAGTTTGCAAGTTTGAGCCCCATTCTGGGCAACATAGTGAGGTCCCATCTCCAAATCTCTCTCTCTCTCTCTCTCTCTCTCTCTCTCTCTC